CCCCACCACACGACCCACCCACACACAGACCACACCACACACACACCACGCACACACAACACACGCACACACAGACCCACGCAACACAGACCCACGCACACACAGACCCACGCACACACAGACCCACGCACACACAGACCCACACACACACAGACCACACACACAGACCCACGCACACACAGACCCACGCACACACACCCACGCACACACACCACACACACACCCCACGCACACACAGACCCACGCACACACGCACACACACACCCCACACAGACCAACGCACACACACACAGACCCACGCACACACAGGCCCACGCACACACAGACCCACACACACAGACCCACCACACGCCACACAGACCCACGCACACACACCACCACACACACAGACCCACGCACACACAGACCCACGCACACACAGACCCACGCACACACAGACCCACACACACCACACACCCCACACACAGACCCACGCACACACACACACACAGACCCTGGTTTAGTCTGTGTTTAGTCCTGGTCCCTGGAGAAGCTTTAATTCCAAATTAAAAAAAGAATAATTCTGAATCAAAATGAATTCCTCTTTAAAACATCCATGTAAACATTTAATTCTTACTGAAAATGATGATTGTGAATTCATCTTAAGTCTGAACTAAGTGTTTGTTCTGATTTTAAAGCTGGATGAGTTTCCTGGTCCTGTGTTGTTCTGTGGTTTATGTTCTGTACGTCATTATTTTATATTTCTCGCATCATTTTGAGTAAAAAAACATCAGATATTACAGATTTTTCCTGGGCTCTTTGTGGGACGGGTTCATCACGAATCACGAATCACGAATCACGAACCGACCCTCAGTGAAAACCCCACACTCACACACTCCACTGGACTCAGACTCAATGTCTTTAACAAACACGACTGAACTAAAAGGGAAAAAGGAGCTGCTCAGACTGTTGAAAACGACCACTTGATGACATCACGAGGTGGAGCTGAGCGTTTGGAGACGTAGACAGACTGTAGAACACGACTTAGAACAGACAAATCTAGTTTTGTTTTTCTCATTGTTTTAAAGGTTGTATAGAGGATTTTTTAAGGGAGGTGACATACAGCGACAGTTCTTTTTCAGATGTTGTGCATGTGACACCAACTTCCTCAGTAGAAACACCTCCTCCTCCCGCCTCTTTACTCTACAAATCACGTTTGTTTACATCCAGTGCGTGTTCAGAATTACAGTTGAAGTGACCTGCCTAGAAATATTTCAGCGACCGACGTGTCAGTTTTTAGACCCTTCGGATTTCTTTTGCGGCGAACTGCGTCGTGGATTCTCGTCCGCACATCGCAACAAACGCGAATTGCGAGGAAGCGACAGTTTGAAAAAGCCTCAAAGAACCGCCGCATAAACCACATAATCCCCGAGCGCACAAAAAAGCGTTACACAAAAAATGTAGGGAGTTTGACTGACGACCTAACAGCCAATAGATAAAGAGGGAGCCTCGTTTTCTATTGGCTGATGTTTATCTGGCCTCAACACGTCCACAGTTGATAGATTTTCATTCTTTTTTTTTTTTTGGTCATCATAATTACAAAGCTGCTGCGTCTCTGTAATGATATTTTAAACTTTCAATGACAATTTGAAACAAAAAAAAAAAATCCTCCATACGACCTTTAAGAGACTAAAATGAGGAGGTTGTGGGTTCGACTCCTGTTGTGTGTGTATGTGTGTGTGTGTGTGTGTGTATAGTGTGTGTGTGTGTGTGTGTGTATAGTGTGTGTGTGTGATAGTGTGTGTAATGTGTGTGTGTGTGTGTGTGTGTATATGTGTGTGTGTATAGTGTGTGTGTGTGTGTGTGTGTATAGTGTGTGTGTGTGTGTGTGTGTGTGTGTAGTGTGTGTGTGTGTGTATATAGTGTGTGTGTATAGTGTGTGTGTGTGTGTATAGTGTGTGTGTGTATGTGTGTGTGTGTGTGTATGTGTGTGTGTGTGTGTGTGTGTGTGTGTGTGTGTGTATGTGTGTGTGTGTGTGTGTGTGTGTATGTGTGTGTGTGTATAGTGTGTGTGGTGTGTGTATGTGTGTGTGTGTGTGTGTGTGTGTGTGTGTGTATGTGTGTGTGTGTGTGTGTGTGTATGTGTGTGTGTGTGTGTGTGTGTGTGTGTGTGTGTGTGTGTGTGTGTGTGTATGTGTGTGTGTGTGTGTGTATAGTGTGTGTGTGTGTGTGTGTTGTGTGTGTGTGTGTGTATAGTGTGTGTGTGTGTGTTGCTCGTTGTGTGTGTGTTGTGTGTTTTGTTAAAACTTGTTGTAATGTTTTGAAGTTCGTCTCGTTTCGTTGTTGGACGGATTGATTCGCTCGGCCTCATTTTTCTGTCTGGAGCTGCTGGTCCCTCGCTCCTCTCCTCTCCTCTCTCCTCCTCCTCCGTCCTCCCTCCCTCCTCCCTCCCTCCTCCCTCGCTCCTGTCATCCATCTCTGCTCCCTCGCTCCTCTCCTCCCTCCTCTCTTCTCTTCTGTCTCTTCTCCCTCTCTCCTGTCGTCCATCTCTTCCCTCTCTCCCCTCTCTCTCCTCTCTCCCCTCTCTCCTCCCTCGTTCCTCCCTCTCTCCTCCCTCTTCCTCCCTCGTTCCTCCCTTCTCCCTCCTCCCTCGTTCCTGTGGGACTCGTGCGTTCGGTGGGAAAAGTTCTTTTAAAAACGTTTGAGCCGCTGCAGTTTTCACAGACTGAAGGTTTTGGGCGACGCACGTGTTGATTTAACCCCAAAGAAAAACCAGAACGTCACTCGTTAACACGACGGAGGGAGGGATGGAGAGAGGGAGAGAAGAGAGAGAGACAGAGACAGGGAGAGAAAGGAGAGAGGGGGGAGAGAGAGAAAGAGTGGGGAAAGAGGGATAGTGAGAGAGGAGGGAAGAGAGAGAAAGAAAGAAAAGGAGAAAGAGAGAGAAAAGGAGAGAGAAAGAGAGATAGGGATAGAAAGAGAGAGAGCAGGCTGGTGGGTGGAGGTGTGGGAGGTGGAGGATGGAGGGAGGAGGTGGAGGAGGTGGAGGAGGAGGATGGAGGGAGGAGGTGGAGGAGGAGGTGGAGGAGGTGGGAGGTGGAGGAGGTGGAGGAGGATGGAGGGAGGGAGGAGGTGGAGGATGGAGGGAGGAGGTGTGGAGGTGGAGGAGGTGGAGGTGGAGGAGGTGGAGGAGTGGAGGTGGGGAGGAGGTGGAGAGGTGGAGGATGGAGGAGGAGGTGGAGGAGGTGGTGGGAGGATGGAGGAGGAGGTGGAGGAGGAGGAGGGAGGAGGTGGAGGATGGAGGGAGGAGGTGGAGGAGGAGGAGGTGTGAGGTGGAGGTGGAGGATGGAGGGAGGTGGAGGGATGGAGGATGGTGGGAGGTGGAGGTGGAGGTGGAGGATCAGTTTTGTTTGGTTTCTGTTCCAGTGTCACAAAGTGAGAGACTAAAACACGGAACAAATGAAAACAACTCCTCCTCCATCCTCCACCTCCTCCACCTCCTCCCTCCTCCTCCACCTCCTCCATCCTCCACCTCCTCCCCACCTCCTCCATCCTCCTCCATCCTCCACCTCCTCCTCCACCTCCTCCACCTCCAACTCCTCCTTCCTCTCCAACTCCAACTCCTCCTCCTCCACCTCCTCCTCCTCCTCCCCTCCTCCTCCACCTCCAACTCCTCCACCTTCCTCCATCCACCTCCTCCTCCTCCACTCCTCCACCTCCTCCTCCTCCTCCTCCACCTCCTCCACCTCCAACTCCTCCTCCATCCTCCTCCACCTCCAACCTCCTCCTCCAACTCCTCCAACTCCTCCTCCTCCATCCTCCATCCTCCAACTCCTCCTCCTCCACCAACTCCTCCTCTCCATCCTCCACCTCCTCCTCCAACTCCCCACCTCCTCCATCCTCCTCCTCCAACTCCTCCAACTCCTCCATCCTCCAACTCCTCCAACTCCTCCTCCAACTCCTCCATCCTCCTCCTCCAACTCCTCCTCCACCTCCTCCTCCACACCTCCACCTTCTCTACAACTTCAGCTCCTCCACCTCTTCCTTCTCTACACCTCCTTCTACTCTCCTCCTCCTCCTCCACCTTGTCACATTGTTCCTCATCACAAACCTGCCTGAAGACCTTTCAGACTCCTCCATGCATGTTTGAGTCATCTAGAGATCTCCCCTGAGCCCTATTCAAACCCTCCTCACAGTTCGCTGCAGTACGAGTCTGTACGAGGCTCCGCCCACACGCTCCCACACCACAACCCTCCATAAAAACACAAAACTGTGTGCGTCTGTGTGTTTGATTGTTCTGCCTGTGTGTCTGATTGTTCTGCCTGTGTGTTTGATTGTTCTGCCTGATAGTGTGATAGTCTGTGTGTGTCTGATTGTTCTGATGTGTTGTTGTTCTGATGTGTTCTGATTGTTCTGCCTGTGTGTCTGATTGTTTGTGTGTTTTGACTGCCTTGCCTGTGTGTCTGATTGTTCTGTGTGTGTATTGTTCTGCCTGTGTGTCTGATGTTTCTGCCTGTGTGTGTTTGATTGTTCTGCCTGTGTGTCTGATTGTTCTGCCTGTGTGTCTGATAGTTCTGTGTGTGTTTGATTGTTCTGCCTGTGTGTCTGATTGTTCTGCGTGTGTGTTTGATTGTTCTGCCTGTGTGTCTGATAGTTCTGTGTGTGTTGATTTTCTCTGTGTCTGATTGTTCTGGTGTGTGTTGTTGTTCTGTTGTGTCTGTGTTTGATTGTTCTGTCTGTGTTTGATTGTTCTGCCTGTGTGTCTGATTGTTCTGCCTGTGTGTTGAATTGTTCTGTTGTGTTCTGTGTGTGTGATTGTTCTGCTGCTGTGTGATTTTCTGCATGTGTTGATTGTTCTGCCTGTGTGTTTGATTGTTCTGCCTGTGTGTTGATTGTTCTGCCTGTGTGTCTGATTGTTCTGTCTGTGTGTTTGATGTTCTGCCTGTGTGTCTGATTGTTCTGCCTGTGTGTTTGATTGTTCTGTCTGTGTGTCTGATTGTTCTGCCTGTGCGTGTGTGCAGGTCGTGTATCTTCTACAGAGCCTGCATGGACATTCCCAGAGGCACCGAGCTGCTCGTCTGGTACAACGACTCGTACACGTCCTTCTTCGGGATCCCACTGCAGTGCATCGCCCAGGACGAGAACTGTAAGAACATGCAAACAACACTCCCAACATGCAACAAACAACCCTAAGAACATGCAAACAACACTCCCAACACGCAACAAACAACCCTAAGAACATGCAAATAACCAAAAAAACATAACATAACACACAAACAGTGCATCGCCCAGGACGAGAACTGTAAGAACATGCAAACAACATTACGAACACGCAAAAATAACATGTAAACACACGCAACGCATGCAAAAATAACCATGAGAACATGCAAATAATCCCTCAGTGCATCACTCAGGACGTGAACTGTAAGAACACACAAACTGAACCCTAAGAGCATGCAAATAACCAACACACAAACAGTACATCATCCAGGCCGAGAAGTGTAAGAACATGCAAACAACCCTAAGAACAAGCAAACATGGGTAAAACTAACTATAAGAACATGTAACAAATGACCCTATTAACATGCAACAATATGACATAACACACAAACAGTGCATCACCCAGGACAAGAACTGTAAGAACACACAAACTTAACTGTAAGAACATGCAAAAATAACATGTAAACACACGCAACGCATGCAAAAATAACCATAAGAACATACAAATAATCAAACAACAGAACATACCACACATAACGCCCAAGATGAGAACCGTAAGAACACGCAAAGAACCCTAAAAACACGCAAATAACCGTAAGAACATGCAACAGACAACCCTAAGAACACGTAACAAACAACCCTAAGAACATGCAAAAATAACCGAACAACATAACATAACACACAAACAGTGCATCTCTCAGGACGAGAACTGTAAGAACATGCAAAGGACGCTAAGAACACCCAACAAACAACACTATAAGAACATGCAAAAATAACATGTAAACACACGCAACGTACACAAAAACAATCATAAGAACATGCAAATAATCAAACAACAGAACATAACACACATAACGCCCAGGATGACAACTGTAAGAACATGCAAAAACCCTAAGAACACGCAGCAAACAACACTAATAACATGCAAATAATCAAAAAAACAAATAAAAACACAACCAAAAGTAGTCAAGTAATCTCCCTGCCGTACATCCTAAGAACATGCAAAAAATACACAAATGAAAAGTGGAAAGAACCATCAGAACGTGCAGATGTGTGTCAGATGCCCTCCCTCCTCGTCTGTTCTTCAGTGACAGAGGTTTTTTTTTGTTTGTTTGTTCTTGTTGTGACTTGAGACTCGTCCTGAGACAAAACCAAACCACAATAACTCAATTTAGACCAAAGCCCGAACCCGACCCAGACCCAGACCCAAGACCTAGACCAAGACCCAGAGACCCAGACCCAGACCAGACCAAGACCCAGACCCAAGACCAAGACCCAGACCAAGACCCTAGACCCAGAGACCAGACGACCCAGACCAAGACCAGACCCAGACCCAGACCAAGACCAAGACCAGACCCAGACCAAACCCTAGACCAAGACCCAGACCCAGACTCAGACTCAGACCAAGACCCCAGACCAAGACCCAAGACCAAGACCTAGACCAGACCCCAAGACCAAGACCAAGACCCAGACCAAGACCCAGACCAAGACCCAAGACCCAGACCAGACCAGACCAAGACCCCAGACCAAGACCAAGACCAAGACCTAGACCAAGACCCCAGACCAAGACCAAGACCTAGACCCCAGACCCAGACTCCAGACCAAGACCCAGACCCCAGACCCCAGACCAACCAGACAAGACCCAGACTCAGACCAAGACCCCAGACCCCAGACCCAGACCCCAGACCCCAGACCAAGACCAAGACCCAGACCAGACCAAGACCAGACCCAGACCCAGACCCCAAGACCAAGACCCAAGACCCAAGACCCAAGACCCAGACCAAGACCCAGACCCCAGACCCAGACCCCAGACCAAGACCCAGACTCAGACCAAGACCCAGACCCAGACCCAGACCAAGACCCCAGACCAAGACCAGACCCAGACCAACCAGACCCAGACTCAGACCCCAGACCCAGACCCAGACCAGACCAAGACTCAGACCTCAGCACGACTCGACTGAAAAATACAAAAAGACACGTTTGTTTGACTTTTCTGTTTCTCTGACGGATCCGGACTGAACCAGGACTAAACCAGGACTAAATCAGGACTAAAGAAGATCTGAACCAGGACTAAACCAGGACTAAACCAGGATTAAAGAAGGACTAAACCAGAACTAAAGAAGATCTGATCCAGGACTAAACCAGGACCAAAACAGGACTAAAACTGGTCTGACTCAGGTCTTGTTCGTGTCTGTTTCTGCGTCAGGGTTTAATCTCATTAAGAGAAAACTCTGTGTTTGTTTTGATTTTTGGTTTTGGTTTTTTGTGTTTTTGTGTCGGTCGGCGGGAGAGCCCCTGTCAGGATCCGGAGCGGTTTAACGAGGAGCTGACAGGAGCTGACAGGAGCTGACAGGGGCAAACGGGACAGGGACAGGCGGTTTTGTAAACAGGCCAGAGGAGGAGGAGGAGGAGGACATGTGTTTCCAGTGAAGCTCGTCCTCGTGTTTGTTGTTGAACTTAAACGAATAAAATCATCAAAATCAGACGAAGGTTTTTCTTCTTCTGCTTCGGTCGGACGGATTCGCTTTAAAGTCTCCAGACCCGAGTCTAATTCACGAAAAAATGTGGAAAACACGGAGCTGTTTTTCCTCAGGTCCAAGTGAAAAACTGAAGATCAGGACTTTAAAAACACAGAGGAGCAAGACCTGGATCAACACCTCATGACATCACAACGTAGAACAGTGTATTAAGCCCGAGTCGGTCCTCATCAAGTCTCGGTTTAGCCCTGATTCAATCCTGGTTTAGACCTGGTTTAGTCCTGGTTTAGTCCTGGTTTAGTCCTTCTTTAGTCCTGGTCCTGACTCAGTCCTGACTCAGTCTTGGCTCTGCTCTTGGTTTAGTCCTGGTCCTGGTCTTGGTTCAGTCCTGGTCTTGGTCCTGACTCAGTCCTGGTCCTGGTCTTGGTTCAGTCTTGGTCTTGGTCCTGGCTTAGTCCTGGTCCTGCTCTTGGTTCAGTCTTGGTCTTGGTCCTGGTCTTGGTTCAGTCTTGGTCCTGGTCCTGGTCTTGGTTCAGTCTTGGTCTTGGTCCTGGCTCAGTCCTGGTTCTGGTTTAGTCCTGGTTCTGACTCAGTCCTGACTCAGTCCTGGTCCTGGCCCTGGTCCCGGTCTTGGTCTGGTCAGCTGGACTCTCTCAGAGCTGTTGTTTCTCTTGTCTGTCTTTGTTCTATTTGCATATTCTGCTCGTTTGTGTGATTGTGATCGAGCTGCGTGTGGACGAACGACGTCATCAACATCACACACACACGACCCGATC